GCTGGTCTAGAACGCCTGACCTTGTGATTCACCCACCTCGGCCTCCCAAAGTGCTGGGATTACAGGTACGAGCCACTGCACCCAGCCCTAAATATTTTTTTTTCTTTTTAAATTTTTTTAAAAAATAGCCAGGCATGGTGGCTCACACCTATAATCCCAGCACTTTGGGAGGCCAAGGCGGGCAGATCACGAGGTCAGAAGTTCGAGACCAGCCTGACCAACATGGTGAAACCCCATCTCTACTAAAAATATAAAAATTAGCCAGGCATGGTGGCACGCACCTGTAATCCCAGCTACTTAGGAGGTTGAGGCAGGAGAATCGCTTAAACCCGGGAGGCGGAGCTTGCAGTGAGCCAAGATTGCACCACTACATTCCAGCCTGGGCAACAGAGCAAGACCCCGTCTCAAAAAAATTAAAATTAAAATTAAAAAATAGAGACAAGGACTCACTATGTTGCCCAGACTGGTCTCAAACTCCTGAGGTCAAGTGATCATCCCACCTCAGCCTCCCGAAGTGCTAGGATTACAGGTGTGAGCCACCACACTAGGCCCCAAAGTGAACAAAAAAAGCCATTGACACTATTAGCCATTCAAAGACACTGAGGTTTCCTTAATGGGAGTCACTCTACTTAGTTGGCCCCTGTGGTTTCATACAGCAATTAATTTTTTATGATACATACTATGTTTTATTACAGATTGATAAGCTGTTCTAAAAGGCTGTTCCAATTTATTCTTCCAATTCAGGACTTGAATAAGCCCCTTTCCACAGGTACAGCCTGGCACAGTGTTTGTTCTCAGCAGACCATGCAGAGGGAAGGCCAGGGTCAGCTGTCGGCTGGAACCAGCATCCCCACTCCCTGCCCTGCCCTGTCTTATGCACCACGCCCCAAAACTATTTGCTCTTCCCAGGGTTCTGGGTGCTGACCCCCAAGACCAAGCAGACGGCACCCCTCGCCATCGCCACAGCCCGAGGCTACACAGACTGTGCTCGCCACCTGATCCGGCAGGGAGCTGAGCTGGATGCCCGCGTCGGGGGTCGCACTGCCTTGCACGAGGCCTGTGCCCGGGCCCAGCTCGACTGTGTGCGGCTGCTGCTGACCTTCGGAGCCAAGGCTAACGTGCTGACTGAGGAGGGCATGACTCCCTTGCACCTCTGCACGATTCCCGAGTCCTTGCAGTAGGTGCCTGGGGGCTGAGACCGTTTGGGGAGGAATGTGTGTGTGTGTCTCCAGCTCACAGGCCAGAAGAGGGAAGCTGACAACTACATGCAGCTTTGTGGTTCATAAAGCATCTCATATACACATCTTCACAATAACCTGGAGACAGGCCTCATTCTACAGATGAGAAAAATGAAGCTCAGAAAGGTTTAGTAACTTGTCCAAGGTCACATCTGCTAAGTCCAGGAGGCAGAAGCCCTGTTGCTTTTTGGGAAAACTCTGTTCCAACTGCGGTCTCCAATTCCCTGTGAATCCTTTGTAGCCAAACCTAGCTGTTTTTTTTGTTTGTTTGTTTTTTGTGTTTTTTCTTTTTTTTTCCTTTTTTTTTTTTTTGAGGTGGAGTCTCGCTCTGTCGCCCAGGCTGGAGTGCAGTGACTGGCTCTCGGCTCACCGCAAGCTCCGCGTCCTGGGTTTACGCCATTCTCCTGCCTCAGCCTCCCGAGTAGCTGGGACTACAGGTGCCCGCCACCTCGCCCAGCTAGTTTTTTTTTGTGTATTTTTTTTTAGTAGAGACGGGGTTTTACCGTGTTAGCCAGGATGGTCTCGAGCTCCTGACCTCGTGATCCGCCCATCTAGGTCTCCCAAGTGCTGGGATTACAGGCTTGAGCCACCGCGCCCGGCCCTGATTTTTGTGTTTTTGAGACCGAGTCTTGTTTTGTCGCCCAGGCTGTAGTGCAGTGGCGTGATCTCGGCTCACTGCAACCTCTGCCTCCACGCCCAGTTAGGTTTTGTATTTCTAGTGGAGATGGGGTTTTGCCATGTTGGCCAGGCTGGTCTTGAACTCCCGACCTCAAGTGATCCACCCGCCTTGGCCTCCCAAAGTGCTGGGATTACAGGCATGAGCCACCATGCCCAGTCCAAATTCCTAGTTGTTTTGAGGTATTAAGAAATATCTGGCCAGGTGTGGTGGCTCACACCTGTAACTCCAGCTACTAGGAGGTTGAGACACAAGAATCGCTTGAACCTGGGAGGTGGAGGTTGCAATGAGCCGAGATTCTGCCACTGCACTCCAGCGACACTCTGTCTAAAAAAAAAAAAAAAAAAAAAAAAACTGGGCGCAGTGGCTCATGCCTATAATCCCAGCACTTTGGGAGGCTGAGGCGGGTGGATCATGAGGTCAGCAGTTCAGGACCAGCCTGGCCAACATAGTGAAACCCTGTCTCTATTAGAAATACAAAAAATTAGCTGGGGCGGGCGTGGTGGCGGGCGCCTGTAATCCTAGCTACTCAGGAGGCTGAGGCAGGAGAATCACTTGAACCCAGGAGGCGGAGATTGCAGTGAGCCGAGACTGTGCCACTGCACACCAGCCCCTGCGACAATGTGAGACTGTCAAAAAAAGAAAAAAATAAGAAAGATCTACAGGCCAGGTGCAGTGGTTCACGCCTGTAATAACTACACTTTTGGAGGCAGAGGCAGGAGGATTGGTTGAGTCCAGGAGTTTGAGAACAGCTTGGGCAACATAAGTGAGATTTTGTCTCTACTAAAAATAAAAAATAAAAACTAGGCAGGCATGGTGGCATGAGCCTCTAGTCCCAGCTACTTGGGAGGCTGAGGCAGGATGATCTCTTGAGCCCAGAAGTTCAAGACCAGACTGGGCAACATAGTGACACCCTGTCTCTATAAAACATAAAATTAGCCGGGCATGGTGGCGTGCATCTGTAGTCTCAGCTACTCAGGAAAAGCACTTGAGCCCAAGAGGTCTAGGCTTCAGTAAGCTATGATCATGCTGCCACTATACTCCAGCCTGGACAACAGGGCAGGACCCTGTCTTAAAAAAAAAAAAAAAAAAGTGGGAGGAGAGGTATGGGGGTACCTCACACCAACGTTAGGCAACACAAGGCTAGATTTTTTGTTTTTGGAGACAGGGTCTCACTCTGTTATCCAGGCTGGAGTGCAGTGGCACAATCATGACTCACTCGTAGCCGCAATCTCCTGGGCTCAAACAATCCTCCTGCCTCAGCTTCCAGGGAAGTTGGGATTACAGGACAGTGCTACCATACCTGGCTATTTTTTAAAAAATTATTATTTTTAGTAGAGACATAGTGTCTCTATGTAGCCCAGGCTGGTCTCTGACTCCTGAGCTCAGGCAATTCTCCTGCCTTGGCCTCCCAAAGTATTGGAATTACAGACATGAACCAATATACCAACCCTGCCACTTTTTTTAAGGTTGGCAGTTTCTTGGAGTCCCTGCATGAGGGTATTTGCACTTTTACAATCAGGTCACCGGGTGCGGAGGCTCACGCCTGTAATCCCAGCACTTTGGAAGGCCGAGGCAGGCGGATCACGAGGTCAGGAGATCAAGACCATCCTGGCTAACATGGTGAAACCCCGTCTCTACTAAAAATACAAAAAATTAGCCGGCGCGGTGGCGGGCGCCTGTAGTCTCAGCTACTCGGGAGGCTGAGGCAGGAGAATGGCATGAACCCGGGAGGTAGAGCTTGCAGTGAGCTGAGATCGTGCCACTGCACTCCAGCGTGGGTGACAGAGCGAGACTCCGTCTCAAAAAAAAAAAAAAAAAAATACAATCAGGTCAACAGACAGGGTGGCAGGTAAGGATCCAAGGGCTCCTGGAAGACTCTCCACTGCCCACAAGCTGGGGACCTCTCTCCACTACATCTAGATGATGTCCAAGAAGTGGTCCACATTTGCCAGCCCTTTCTTGGGTTCTTACAGGCATTTGGTGTGCCTTCCAACAGACTTCATCTTTCTAAGTAACGTGAGAATGCCCACTTACTGGAACCCTACCGAGCGAGCTTTGGAGTGTTACTTAAATTTAGTATTTGAAGGCCGGGTGTGGTGACTAACACCTGTAATTCCAGCACTTTGGTAGGCCAAAGCAGGGGGATCACGAGGTCAGGAGATCAAGACCATCCTGGCCAACATGGTGAAACCCTGTTTCTACTAAAAATACAAAAATTAGCCAGGCATGGTAGTGCATGCCTGTAGTCCCAGCTACTTGGGAGGCCGAGGCAGAAGAATGGCTTGAACCCGGGAGGCAGAGACTGCAGTGAGCCAAGATGGCGCCACTGCATTCCAGCCTGGGCGACAGAGCAAGACTTGGCTCATGCCTGTAATCCCAGCACTTTGGGAGGCCAAGGCAGGTGGATCATGAGGTCAGGAGATTGAGACCATCCTGGCTAACACGCGGTGAAACCCCATCTCTGCTAAAAAAAAACGAAAAAATTAGCTGGGTGTGGTGGTGGGTGCCTGTAGTCCCAGCTACCCAGGAGGCTGAGGCAGGAGAATGGTATGAACCTGGGAGGCAGAGCATGCAGTGAGCTGAGATCACACCACTGCACTCCAGCCTGGGCGACAGAGCGAGACTCCGCCTCAAAAAAAAATTTAGTATTCGGAAACAAAAATTAGCCTATGATTAGAATTTACCAAGGAGATAATTCAGTAGCTCATGGAAGACTGGCTGCTACTCACATCCTGGCTACAGAGCAAGACACCTACATGGAATATATGAGCAAGAATTTTGGCCATTAGGCCGGGCGCGGTGGCTCAAGCCTGTAATCCCAGCACTTTGGGAGGCCAAGACGGGCGGATCAGGAGGTCAGGAGATCAAGACCATCCTGGTTAACATGGTGAAACCCCGTCTCTACTAAAAAATACAAAAAACTAGCCGGGCATGGTGGCGGCGCCTGTAGTCCTAGCTACTCGGGAGGCGGAACTTGCAGTGAGCCGAGATCGCGCCACTGCACTCCAGCCTGGGCAACAGAGCGAGACTCCGTCTCAAAAAAAAAAAAAAAAAAAGAATTTTGGCCATTTTGGGAAAGGGTATTTGGTTATCAGGGTTTCACTGAGGATGGTGGATCTGCTCCTGAGTTTCCAGAAGCTGCAGTTTTGGCTTTTTAGTTATAAGTTACTGTTAGTTTGGTTTCATCATTATTAATTTAGTTTTTTGCATGTTTGGTTTACCCTGCAGTAAGGAAGGATGCATGTTTGCTGCCACAGTGTTCTGGTCTATAATTTTCCCTGGAACTGGGAAACATGTGCTCTCTAAAACCTGTTTTTGTTGCTGTTTTTCCTTTGGTTTTGTTTTCTCTAGGGGAAAGTGGAGGAGGGTGGCCCCAAATGCCTGCCTTTGCTTGAATGATTGTGGCCTGGTTTAGAAGAGTGGTCTTTTAAGTGTGAGGGCAGAAATAAAATATTATAACTTGTATTTTTGTTTTGGTGCATACTTTCTAATTTTCTGTGTTTTATAACGTACACAGAAGTGGGTTTTCCAAATTTTGTGCTATCAAAATGTTAGGAGATAAGGCCTGGTGTGGTGGCTCACACCTGTAATCCCAGCAGTTTGGGAGGCCAAGGCAGGAGGATTGCTTGAGCCCAGGAGTTTGAGACCAGCTGGGGCAAATGGTGAGACCCTGTCTCTACAAAAAATAATTTTAAAAATTAGCCAGGTGTGATGGTGCCCACCTGTGGTCCCAGCTACTTGGGAGGCAGAGGCAGGAGGACTGCTTGAGCTTGGGAGGTCCAGGCTACATGAGCTATATGTAATTGCACCACTGCACTTCAGCCTGGGCGACAGAGAGGGACCCTGTCTCCAAAAAAAAAAAAAAAAAAAAAAAAAGGAGACAACTGACAACTGAGACGGAGTAGACTCTGGGAGGGACTGTCTGAGGCAGTGAGCACTATTTCTGGTGCAGCCACTAACTTGCTGTGTCCTCGGCTGCACAAATCACTTCTGGGCTTAAGTTTTCATATGAAAACTGAAGATGCTTCTGGTAGCTCTCAGCACCTTTCAGTTCTGTTGTCTATAGCGGGGCTTGTGTGATTCATGGAGGACACCAGGTAGGACCTCAAGGTGAGGGGTGGAAAGAGAAGGGAGGGTGACAGCAAGCTGAAGGGGTCCCAGGCCTTCAGGATTTTCCCCGGGACCTTGCTCTCTTGTCCCCAGGTGCGCCAAGTTGCTGCTGGAAGCGGGAGCGACGGTGAACCTGGCGGCAGGCGAGAGCCAGGAGACGCCCCTGCATGTGGCGGCGGCGCGCGGCCTGGAGCAGCATGTGGCTCTGTACCTGGAGCATGGCGCCGACGTGGGCCTGCGCACCAGCCAGGGCGAGACGGCACTGAACGCGGCATGCGCTGGGGCCGAGGGCCCCGGCAGCTGCAGGCGGCACCAGGTTGCGGCGCGCCGGCTCCTGGAAGCTGGAGCTGATGCCCGGGCGGCCGGGCGCAAGCGCCACACGCCGCTGCACAACGCCTGTGCCAACGGCTGCGGGGGCCTGGCCGAGCTGCTGCTGCGCCATGGGGCCCAGGCTGAGGTCCCCAATGGGGCGGGCCACACGCCCATGGACTGTGCGCTGCAGGCCGTCCAGGACGCCCCCAACTGGGAGCCCGAGGTCCTCTTCGCCGCACTGCTGGACTACGGGGCCCAGCCTGTGCGCCCTGAGGTGAGGTGCGCTGGGAGACTCTGAGATAGGAAGCTCCTGTGTAGGGGAGCCCACGGCTAGAACTACTCAGCCTCTGGGGAAGAGAGAGGGTCCAAGAGACTGAAAGCCCGCCCTCAGTGGCCAGGGGGTTGTCCCCAGCTTGGGAGGGGGAGAGAGGATTCCGGGAGAGAGTCCAAAGGAAGGAAGAGCCCCAGAGGAAAACTGGGGCTAAAAGGTTTGAGCACTTGAGGGTGGAGTAGACAGAGGCACAGAAAAGGGAAGAGAGACTCAGATCTTAGCCCCCCAGATTAGGCTAGGATTGGCCATGTGGGTTAGGTGAGACTTGGGTCTGCCCTCGGCTGGGGGAGGCATGTGCCCAATACCCTCTTTTAACCCCTAGATGCTGAAACACTGTGCCAACTTCCCTCGGGCCCTGGAAGTCCTGCTTAATGCCTATCCTTGTGTCCCATCCTGTGAGACCTGGGTGGAGGCGGTGCTCCCAGAACTGTGGAAGGTATGTCTGCCTCAGGGCCGAGATGGGGAGGAGGGATGAGCCACAGGTCTATTCCTTCAGGATCAGCGTCATGGAGGGAGCAGCAGGAGGGTCCCTGGGTAGAGAGGATGGGTAGAGTGGCACCCCTGAGTTTCAGGGTTCCCCCTCCCCCTGGTACCCCAGGCTGACCCCCTAACTCCACACACCTCTCCTGCCTCCCTCACTTGCATCAGCACAGACATTTATCTGGCATCTCTAACTTGGTGGGCACTGTGCTAGCCTCTCTGGGGTGGGAGTGGGTGCAAACATAGTGAAGACCCTTCCCTGAAGTGGAGCCCTAGCCCCCATTATCACTGCAGGGCCTCTATGGTTCTGAATCTGAGTCCTTTGAGACACACGAAACACCCAGGTGGGTGCATGCTGCAAAATCCCAGGACCCTCACCACTGGGTTGCCCCCAGATGGTAGGGCAAGGGTCATCTGACCCTCTTTTACTCCTGGCCTAGGAGCACGAAGCCTTCTACAGCTCGGCCCTGTGCATGGTGAACCAGCCAAGGCGGCTGCAGCACCTGGCCCGACTAGCTGTGCGCGCTCGGTTGGGAAGCCGCTGCCGGCAGGGTGCCACCCAGCTGCCACTGCCCCCGCTCCTCAGGGACTACCTGCTGTTGCGTGTGGAGGGGCGCATCCAGTGAGCCCCATGTCAGGCTGTCCCATGGTGTGTTCTGCCCTTCCCACCTGTCCCCGCCTCCAACCCCAGAGGACCAGTTCCTGGCCCTCTTTTCTTTTTTTTCTTTTTCTTTTTTTTTTGAGACAGAGTCTCGCTCTGTCGCCCAGGCTGGAGTGCAGTGGGGCTATCTCGGCTCACTGCAACCTCCGCCACCTAGGTTCAAGCGATTCTTGTGCCCCAGCCTTCCAAGTAGCTGGGACTACAGGCGTGAGTCACCACACCTGGCTTTTTTTTGAGACAAAGTCTCGATGTTGTCCAGGCTGGAGTGCAGTGACATGATCTTCGCTCACTGTAAGCTCCGCCCCCCGGGTTCACGCCATTCTCCTGCCTCAGCCTCCCGAGTAGCTGGGACTACAGGCGATCACCACCACGCCTGGCTAATTATTTTGTATTTTTAGTAGAGATGGGGTTTCACAGTGTTTGCCAGGATGGTCTCGATCTCCTGACCTCGAGATCCGCCCACTTTGGCCTCCCAAAGTGCTGGGATTACAGTCGTGATCCACTGCGCCCAGCCTAATTTTTGTATTTTCAGTAGAGACAGGGTCTCACCATGTTGGCCAGGCTGTTCTCGCACTGACCTCAGGTGATCCACCTGCCCTGGCCTCCCAAAGTGTTGGGATAACAGGCATGAGCCACCGCGGCCAGCCACCTGCCCCTCTTTTCTGTACTCCACGTGCTGTCCTGGTCCACCTCATCCCTCCATGGGCTTCTTGAGACACCTGCTGACCTCTAACCGGACCTGAGCTTCAGACCCTCTCTCCAGCAGGAAGGGCTGCAGACTCTGGCCTGTTCCCAGACTCGGCCTTTACCTCCCTCCTCCTCCTGTGTTGACCAGCCTGGCCAACATGGTGAAACCCTGTCTCTACTAAAAATACAAAAATTAGCCGGGCATGGTGGCAGACGCCTGTAATTCCAGCTACTCAGGAGGCTGAGGCAGGAGAATCACTTGAACCTGGGAGGCGGAGGTTGCAGTGAGCCAAGATCGCATTACTGTACTCCAGCCTGGGCAACAGAGTGGGACTCGGTCTTAAAAAAAAAAAAAAAAAAAAGGCTGGGCACGGTGGCTCAAGCCTGTTATCCCAGCGCTTTGGGAGGCCGAGACGGGCGGATCACGAGGTCAGGAGATGGAGACCATCCTGGCTAACACGGTGAAACCCCGTCTCTACTAAAAAAATACAAAAAAACTAGCCAGGCGTGGTGGCGGGCGCCTGTAGTCCCAGCTACTCGGGAGGCTGAGGCAGGAGAATGGCATGAACCCGGGAGGTGGAGCTTGCAGTGAGCTGAGATCCGGCCTCTGCACTCCAGCCTGGGCGATAGAGCGAGACTCCGTCTCAAAAAAAATAAATAAATAAAATTAAAAAAAAAAATTAAAAAAAAAAAATTAGCCAGGCGTGGTGGCACATCCCTGTAGTCCCAGCTACTTAGTAGGCTGAGACAGGAGAATTGCTTGAACCCGGGAGGTGGAGGTTGCAGTAAGCCGAGACCACGCTATTGCATTCCAGCCTGGGCAACAAGAGCGAAATGCCGTCTCAAAAAACAAAACAAAACAAAACAAAACAAAAACAACTCAGTAAAACAGAGCCTCTAGCCTCTGCCAAATTATCTGGCCTTCTGACTTCCCTTCTTCCTTCCAAGGTTCATCTCCAGCCTTAGTAAACAAGTCACCAGTTGCTGGATGTGACCTGCTCCTCTTTGCTTTCAGGTTTTGCATGCGTTATTCCCACCGCTTGAAATACTCTTCCACATTTTCTGGTCTGGTCAAGGCTGATTTGGCCCTCAGGACTCAGTTCCAATAGCACTGTCTCTGCAGAGCCCTCCTTTGTACTTATTTAAGTGCCTGTGTCTGTCTCAACTAGGCTGAGATTGGAACTGTATTTCTTGAACGGGTATTTTGGTAAATGATTGTGGAAGGAGGAACATCCATGAGCCTGGGGTCCATCTATGTGCTCCCTCCGTCCCCAAGTGATGAATGGTGTCTTAAACAGTGGTCACCACATATGGTCTCTGAGGGCCCAGCCACCAACTGCCCGAATCCCCCAACTTCTTCCTCTTGTCCCAGAGTCAAAAGTACCACAATACAGCTTTTGGAAGAAGCTTTTCAAAGCAAGCCAGTTTTTATGAGTGCAAATAAATGATTAGTGCATGAAATGAAAGTACGGATATTGTTTGGTTTAAATGTGACAGAGGTCCCCATCATTCCATATTCATTCCCCACCCCCGGTGCTCTTCTGTGGTTTTCAGGTTTTCTGCATTGAGCAAATGTTACAAGAAAAACACAAGGGCCAGGTGCTGTGTAGTCCCAGCTACAAGGGAGGCTGAGGCAGGAGGATCACTGGACCCCAGGAGTTCGAGACCAGCCTGGGCAACACATTGAGACACTGTCCTGAAAACAATTTTTTTTTTTTTTGAGACAGGGCCTCTCTCTGTTGCCCAGGATGGAGTGTGGTGGCTTGATCACCGCTCACTGCAGCCTCAACCTCCTACACTCAAGCAATACTCCCAACTCAGCCTCCCAAGTAGCTGGGACTACAGGCATGCACCATCACGGGTCTCACTATGTTGCTGAGGCTGAGGGAAAAAAAAAAGGCCCAGCATGGTGGCTCATGCCTGTAATCCCAGCACTTTGGGAGGCCAAGGCGGGGCAGATCACTTGAGTCCAAGAGTTTAAGACCAGCCTGGGCAACATAACAAGATCCTGTCTCTAGAAATTAAAAAAAAAGAAAACACAAAATACTTAGCCAGGTGTGGTGGTGCAGATGGTGGTCCCAGCTACTCAGGAGGCTGAGGTGGGAGGATCACATGAGCCCAGGAAGCAGAGGTCGCAGAGAGCTGAGGTCACAGCAAGCTGAGATTGTGCCACTGCACTCCAGCCTGGGCGACAGAGTGAGACCCCATCTCAAAATAAATAAATAAATAAAAATAACAGAAACACAAATCCCCTCACAGACCCAGAATCTATAGTACCTATCACAGGAGGGAACTGGGGAGGGGCTCCCAGCAGTCTTCTCCTTAGTCAGCAGTCTTTTTTGCTGAGGGATCCTGGGGTCTCCAGTCCCATTACCAGTTGGAGTTACACAGTGGAAGCAGGGATGTAAAGTCCTGGGGTCAGCCTCCTGCTGCAGTTGCCCAACCTTCCCTCCTCCAGGAGAATTGTTATCTGTGGGATTCCATTTCATCAACACAAAGATAGTTTTTTTTACCTTGCTATGTAGAATGCAACACCCCGTTTCTGGATGAAATTTGTGCTTTAGTTTTACAGAGCCAAAAGGCCTGACAGAAGAAAAAGAACTCCTCCCTAGAGAGGGAGGCTGGGAGCCTCACTCTCAGAGGCAATGCTGAACTTTCTACCCCTTTACAGCAGACGGACCACAGCCAGCTCAGCCTTTTCTGATATATTTACAACTACAAAAGATACGGTTAAAAAAGAAAAATACTTGGGTGCGGTGGCTCACGCCTATAATCCCAGCACTTGGGGAGGCAGAGGCGGGTGGATCGCCTGAGGTCAGGAGTTCAAGACCAGCCTGGCTGACATGGTGAAACCCCTTCTCTACTAAAAATACAAAAATTAGGACAGGCATGGTAGCTCACGCCTATAATCCCAGCACTTTTGGAGGCCGAGGCAGGTGGATCACCTGAGGCCAGCCTGGCCGACATGGTGAAACCCTGTCCCTACAAAATTAGCCAGGTGTGGTGGTGCACACATGTAGTCCCAGCTATTCAGTAGGTTGAGGCAGGAGAATCACCTGAACCTGGGAGGCGGAGGTTGCAGTGAGCCGTGATCTCCTACTGCACTCCAGCCTGGGTGACAGAGTAAAACTCTGTCACAAAAAAAAAAAAAAAAAAAAATTCAGGGTACAAGGCCAGGTGTGCAAATCCTGTTGGTGGGCAAATCACCTCTTTGGGGACAATTTGGCCACTTCCTTAAACACTGTTCCCAGTTACACAAAAGCAGGCTACATACGGGAATATTCCTCTCAGCACTGCTTGCAACAACTCATGTCGGAGTGGTTAGACAAATCCATATTACCCATGGCAGGAAAGAACTAGGGAGGGATTCCAAGTGACCAGCATGTGTACTGCCTTGGGAAGATCTCCTAGAGTGCTTTTTATTGATTGATTGAAACGGGGTCTTTATGCCAGGCTGGAGTGCAATGACGCAATCACAGCTCACTGTAGCCTTGACCTCCTATGCTCCAATGATTCTTCCACCTCAGCCTCCCAAGTAGCTGGGGCTACAGGCACACACCACCAGGCCTGGCTAATTTTTAAATTTTTTGTAGAGACAGCATCTCGCAATGTTGCCTATGCTGGTTTCAAATTCCTGGGCTCAAGTGATCCTCCCACCTCAGCCTCCCAAAGTGTTAGAATTACAGTTTTGAGCCACCATGCTCAGCTATTTTCCTTTACCTTTTTTATTTTGAGATGGAGTCTCACTCCATCTCCCAGGCTGGAGCACAGTGCCACGATCACAGCTCTCTGCAATCTTGACCCTAGGGTCAAGCAATCCTCCCACCTCAGCCTCCTGAGTAGCTGGCTTATGGCTCACTGCAGCCTTAACCTCTTAGGGTCAATCATCCCACTTCAGCCTCCTGAGTCGCTGGGACTACAGGCACACGCCACCATGCCCAGCTAATTACTTTTTTTTTTAGAGATGTGGGTCTCACCATATTGCCCAGTCTGGTCTTGAACTCCTGGCTCAAGGGATCCTCCTGCCTCGGCCTCCCAAGGTGCTGGGATTACAAGTATGAGCCACTGTGCCCGGCTTTGTGAATGCACTTAATGCCACTGAATTGTAAACTTAAAAATAGTTAAAATGGTACATTTTATATTATGTATATGTATATATTTACCTTTAGAAATAGAGGTCTCCCTGTGTTGCCCAGGCTGGCCTTTAACTCCTGGGCTCAAGTGACCCTGCTGAGTCAGCCTTCAGAGTAGCTGGGACTACAGGTGCATGCCACCGTGCCTAGCTATGTTTGTTTATTTATTTATTTACTTATTTATTTATTTATTGAGATGGAGTCACTCTGTCGCCCAGGCTGGAATGCAGTGGCACGATCTCAGCTCACTGCAAGTTCTGCCTCCCGGGTTCACGCCATTCTCCTGCCTCAAGCTCCCAAGTAGCTGGGACTACAGGCGCCCACCACCACGCCTGGCTTATTTTTTGTATTTTTAGTAGAGACGGGGTTTCACCGTGTTAGCCAGGATGGTCTCGATCTCTTGACCTCATGATCCGCCCATCTCGGCCTCCCAAATTGCTGGGATTACAGGCGTGAGCCACTGGGCCCAGCAGCTATGTTTGTTTTACCACAATGAAAGGACTTACAAAAAAGAAGCTAGACACTGAAGAGAATACACAGTTGGATTCCTTTTATAGCAAGTACAAAAACAAGAAAAACTAATATCTGGTGACAGACATCAGAACAGTGACTACTCTTTGGAGGTTAATGGCTAGAAGAATGTATGAAGGGGGAGGTTCTGGGGTAATTATCTATTTCTTTCTTTCTTTTTTTTTTTTTTTTTTTCCTGAAATGCAGTCTCGCTCTGTCACCCAGGCTGGAGTGCAGTGGCTCCATCTCAGCTCACTGCAACCTCCGCCTCCCAGGTTCAAGCCATTCTCCTGCCTCAGGCTTCTGAGTAGCTACGATTACAGGCGTGCGCCACCACGCCCGGCTAATTTTTGTATTTTTATAGAGATTTCACCATGTTGAACTCCTGACCTTATGATCAGCCTGCCTTGGCCTCCTAAAGTGCTGGGATTACAGGTGTAAGCCACCGCGCCAGGCCTAATTATCTATTTCTTGATCTAAGTGTTACTTCTGCCAGTGTTCAGTTGGTACAAGCCACCGAGCTTTTTGCTTATGTTTGCCCCTGTATGCATTATTTATCTTTTAATCATTAGTTCTCCAAAACCCTCAAACTCCAGCGCTTTTTTTTTTTTCTTTTTTTTGAGACAAGGCCTCGCTGTCGGGTGGAGTGCAGTGGCTCAGATCATAGCTCACTGCAGCCTCGAACTCCTGGGCTCAAGCGATCCTCCCATCTCTGTCTCCCAAAGCGGTGGGAAAAAATTTTAATTGCGGCCGAGCGCGGTGGCTCACGCCTGTAATCCCAGCACTTTGGGAGGCCAAGATGGGGGCGGATCACCTGAGGTAAGGAGTTCGAGACCAGCCTGACCTGACCAACAGGAAGAAACCCCGTCTCTACTAAAAATACAAAATTAGCGGGGCGTAGTGGTCCATGCCTATAACCCCAGCTACTCGGCAGGCTGAGGCAGTACAGTCGCTTGAACCCGGGGGGCGGTGGTTGCAGTGAGCCGGGATCGCGCCATTGCACTCCAGCCTGGGCAACAAGAGCGGAACTCCGTCTCAAAAAAGAAAAAAGAAAAAATTTTAATTGCAAAAATCCGAATAAGTTCTTGAAAGCTGGACTTTTCCCCTTTTTTGTGCCCTAGGCCTGCGCTGAATCTGTGCCTTCTTTGAAATGCTTTCCCGCCTTCTTTCTCCGGGTCCCACGCTACCTGGGGCCGCACTCTTCAAGCACTGGATGTTGACTAACTCGTCTCCTTATCTGTCTTCCCGAATGGCCCAGAGCTGAGTTCTTACTAATCCCGCTAACCTGTAGTTCGGTGCGCGTTGCAAAGCAGTAACAAATCCAATCAGCCCGGGAGGCAGACAGCAAGGACGGAAGAACAAGGCTGGAAAGGGAAACGTTGCCCAGCGGCGCCAGCCCGGGCAACCTTACACAGACGCGAAGCCACACCCCTTTCCCCAAGTACCTCCCCGCTAACTCCTCCCCCTGGCCCAGCCTCTCACACGGATTGTCTAAGTCCCCGCCCACCAGGCGTGGCCCCGCTCTGGGAGGACCGCAATCCCGCCAACAATGACTCCGCCCCTCCTTCCGCTGAGAAACCTGTCCCTTTTATTTAAAGAATACCTTTTACGTCAGCCCGCCTTACGTAGCTTTGCGTCATCAGTGCAAGGCGCGGAGGCGGGACTTCCTGTCCCTGGTATAACAGCTTCCGGGAGAAGCCGGAAGAGACCGGACCCTGAACAGAATCGCAGATTGCCAGCCCTTTTCCCGACCCCTACGGAAAGACGAGTCCAGGGGCCGTCCTGGCGAGGTCAAAACATTTAGTCTGGCCTTTTCAGGTGAGGACTTCCCCATCCAGGCACAGTGCCGGTCAAATCCCCCTTTAATTTCCCATGACTCCGCGCGTCCTCAAGCCCCGCCCCCAGTTCCCCAGCCCCGCCCCGAAGTTTGAGGGGTGTGGACGGTTTGTGACCCCCTTAGCCGACCCTACCCCTCACGGGCCGGGAGAGCTGGGCTTATCACGGAGGCCAGGGCCAGGCAGCCCTTCGGTTCAGGTGGGCCCATGGACCCCAGTCCAACGCCGCGGGAATAGGACCATCCAAACGCGAAACCTTCGCCTCAGAAAAAGGGTGCGGGACCCCTCCTCACCGTGGGGTCACGGTACGGACAGGGTAGATCACAGGCTGAGGGACAGAGTAAAGACCTCTCAGACCGGACACCTGGGGTCCTGCTGGGCCCCTCCCCACGAGAGTTCCCTGTGTCTGTGCCAGCCGTTTTCGTCTTTCTTCGCCGCAGTTTCCTTTTCTGTAAATCATGGTTCATGACATTAACCTTCTTGCCATCAGGGGTTAGTTGTGGGTGTGATAAATAATTGCTACCATTTATTGAGCAATTGCAATTTGCACTGTGCCAGGCACTGTGCTAAGTATTTTGCTTCGATGATTTCACGTCATCTTCAAAACAACCTCATGAGGTAGGTACTGTTTTTAACCCCATTTTACTGATGAGAAAGCTGAGACTCTGAGAAAGTTGTCTGAGGTGATATAGCTAGTAAGACGCGAGACTGGGGTTATAATTAGTTGTTGTTTTTGTAACTCCAGGGCCAGTATATTAAATAAGGATGTTGATGTGTTCCACAGATATTCTTTGAGCAACTACTGGAGCATTATATTGGACACTTCAGTACCAAGAGAAATACATACGATCCTTGTCTACCAGGAGTCTAATAGAGAGATGGAGAGGTAGATAAGTATAATGAAGTTTTATAGGTGCTGTAAGAATAGTCTGATAATGATAATCACCAGACTAGATTTGCCCAGGGACAGCTGTGAAAGCAGCAGATTCTCCAAAGGACATAGTAGGTATTCCAGGGATCAAGCAGGGACCCTTCCTGCCTTTCTAAGAAACTGCAGCAGCAGAACCTTCACAGTGAAAGAAGAGAGACTGAGATATGGATTGTGAGAGTTGTTATGGAATCTTTTTCAAATCACTTCCACGTGGGGAGTGGTCATTGCAGGAGTGGGCCCATGGTGACCCAGGAGGGTGGTGCTTCTGGTGTCTGTCCCATGTTGCTCCCCGGGGCTTGCCAGAAGTTTCAGAGGTGGCATATAATGTCTGCTGCATAGTGTCTGCTCGTGACCCCTACAGAGTTGCTCGTTTGAGGTTGTCTGACTCTGCTTTTGATGGTAGGTCAGTTTTCTTTGACTCTTGACATCTGGCAGCCTGGATCTGTGACCAGGAATGAAATAGGCTGAAATGAGACAGTCCGGCAGGGCTGGCTAAACAGTGCCTCTAAGCAGGCCCCGCAGTAAAAGATTCCAGACTCTTGGGTCTCTCTGAAGCCACTTTGGAGGCTGCTTAGGAGACATATTTGTTTGACCAAGTGATAGAAATCCTAGAGAAACTCAGGCCTTAGCAAAGGTTTTTCCTCATTCGCCAAAAAAGCAACAACAGTAGCAGCAGCAGCAGCAGCAAGGCTGTGGGCTTTTCCTGCTGATCCACGCTCATTGGGAAGTTGGAGTGTGAGAGAGGAAGGTCACAGAACCTGAAAGGAAAAGTTTCACAATAGAGGCAAAGGGTACGATAGGTCTTTAGCTTTGCATTGGGGTGCCAGAATTAGGAAGGTTTGTGCCCCCTTCTACAGAACACTGAACTCCTTTTTTTTTTTCAGGGCTGGGTCAGTTAGAACCTAAACAAACTAGAGACCTGGTTGCAACCCCTCAGGCTCTGCTGATGCTGTCCCCCTTTGTTCCTGCAGCGTGGACCCTGCCGGCAGCCAGGCCATGGAGCTCTCTGATGTCACCCTCATTGAGGGTGTGGGTAATGAGGTGATGGTGGTGGCAGGTGTGGTGGTGCTGATTCTAGCCTTGGTCCTAGCTTGGCTCTCTACCTACGTAGCAGACAGCGGTAGCAACCAGCTCCTGGGCGCCATTGTGTCAGCAGGTGACACATCCGTCCTCCACCTGGGGCATGTGGACCACCTGGTGGCAGGCCAAGGCAACCCTGAGCCAACTGAACTCCCCCATCCATCAGAGGGTAATGATGAGAAGTCTGAAGAGGCTGGTGAAGGTCAGGGAGACTCCACAGGGGAAGCTGGAGCTGGGGGTGGTATTGAACCCAGCCTTGAGCATCTCCTTGACATCCAAGGCCTGCCCAAAAGACAAGCAGGTGCAGACAGCAGCAGTCCAGAGGCCCCCCTGAGATCTGAGGATAGCACCTGCCTCCCTCCCAGCCCTGGCCTCATCACTGTACGGCTCAAATTCCTCAATGATACCGAGGAGCTGGCTGTGGCTAGGCCAGAGGATACCGTGGGTGCCCTGAAGAGGTGAGTGGCCTGGGAAGTGGGAAGCTGCTTGTGCTCATCCCCCAGCCCTTGGTTGCCTCTAAGGAGGCTGCTGCAGACGTAGGAGCTACAGGAAAGTATAAGATCCAGCCCCTACTAAGGGCAGGTAGATACTTTCTTAGAAATACACCCCTCAGGCCGGGTGCGGTGGCTCCCAGCACTTTGGGAGGCCGAGGTGGGTGCATCACAAGGTTAGGAGTTTGAGACCAGCCTGACCAATATGGTGAAACCCCATCTCTACTAATAGTAAAAAAATTAGCTGGGCGTGGTGGCACACACCTGTAATCCCAGCTACTCAGGAGGCTAAGGCAGGAGAATTGCTTGAACCTGGGAGGCAGAGGTTGTAGTGAGCTGAGATAGCACCATTGCACACCAGCCTGGGTGACAGAGTGAGACTCAGTCTCAAAAAACAAAACAAAACAAATACACTCTTCATTAGTTACAGATAAAGATGAGGGAGGCTGGGCACAGTGGCTCACGCCTGTAATCCCAGCACTTTGGGCAGATCACAAGGTCAAGACATCAAGACCATCCTGGCCAAAATGGTGAAACCCCGTCTCTACTAAAAAAAAAAAACAAAAAACAAAAATTAGCTGGGCGCGGTGGCGCATTCCTGTAGTCCCAGCTACTTGGGAGGCTGAAGCAGGAGAATTGCTTGAACCCAGGAGGCGGAGGTTGTAGTGAGCCAAGATCACGCCACTGCACTCCAGCCTGGCAACAGAGCGAGACTCCGTCTCAAAAAAAAATAAAAATAGGCCGGGCGCGGTGGCTCAAGCCTGTAATCCCAGCACTTTGGGAGGCCGAGACGGGTGGATCACGAGGTCAGGAGATCGAGACCATCCTGACTAACACGGTGAAACCCCGTCTCTACTAAAAAAATACAAAAAAACTAGCCGGGCGAGGTGGCGGGCACCTGTAGTCCCAGCTACTCGGGAGGCTGAGGCAGGAGAATGGCGTGAACCCGGGAGGCGGAGCTTGCAGTGAGCTGAGATCCGGCCACTGCACTCCAGCCTGGGCGACAGAGCAAGATTCTGTCTCAAAATAAATAAATAAATAAATAAATAAATAAATAAATAAATAAATAAAAATAAAATTAAGATGAGGGAAGAAAAAATCCACCCTCTCATTTTTCCCCACTCCCCTTTGTTGGTCCAGGCCTGTTTGCTTTCTTATTCCTCACCCTCTGTCTTTCCTTCCATGCCTTTCATCCTTACAGCAAATACTTCCCTGGACAAGAAAGCCACATGAAACTGATCTACCAGGGCCGCCTGCTACAGGACCCAGCCTGCACACTGCGTTCTCTGAACATTACTGACAACTGTGTGATTCACTGCCACCGCTCACCCCCAGGGTCAGCTGTTCCAGGCCCCTCAGCCTCCTTGGCCCCCTCAGCCACTGAGCCACCCAGCCTTGGTGTCAATGTGGGCAGCCTCATGGTGCCTGTCTTTGTGGTGCTATTGGGTGTGGTCTGGTACTTCCGAATCAATTACCGCCAATTCTTCACAGCACCTGCCACTGTCTCCCTGGTGGGAGTCACCGTCTTTTTCAGCTTCCTAGTATTTGGGATGTATGGACGATAAGGACATAGGAAGAAAATGAAAGGCATGGTCTTCCTCCTTTACGGCCTCCCCCCTTTTCCTGGCCAGAGCTGGGCCCAAGGGCCTGGGAGGGAGGGGTGGAAAGGATGTGATGGAAATCTCCTCCATAGGACACAGGAGGCAGGTACGGGGCCTCCCCTTCTCGTCCATAGGAGTACAGACGTCCCTTCTGTGCAAGCACAACTCAGGTAGAAATGAGGATGTCATCTTCCTTCACTTTTAGGGTCCTCCTGAAGGAGTTCAAAGCTGCTGGCCAAGCTCAGTGGGGAGCCTGGGCTCTGAGATTCCCTCCCACCTGTGGTCCTCGCTCTTCCCAGTGTCCTGCATGTCTGCCCCCAGCACCCAGGGCTGCCTGCCTGGGCAGCTCAGCATGGCCCCAGCACACCTCCATAGGAATCCTGGAGTATCCTTCCATTTCTCAGCCAAATACCTTTTGAGACTGAAATCACACAGGCGGGAATGAAGATTGCGCCAGCCTTCTCTTAAGGGCACCTAGCTGCCTTCACCTTCTCCCTCTACCCCTTGGCAGGAATAGGGTGTCCTCCCTTCTTTCAAAGCACTTTGCTTGCATTTTATTTTTTTAAGAGTCCTTCATAGAGCTCAGTCAGGAAGGGGACAGGACACCAAGCCAAGCCCCCAGCATTGGGAGCGGCCAGGCCACAGCTGCCGCTCCTGTAGGCCTCAGGCTGTAAGCAAGAGACAGTACTGGCCCTTGGCCAGCGTCCTACCCTTCCCAATTCCAAGGACTGGGTATGGATCGCTGGGCCCTAGGCTCCTGCTTCTGGGGCTATTGGAGGGTCAGTGTCTGTGACTGAATAAAGTTCCCTTTTGTGGTCCTGGAGCCTCTTTCTGTGACAGAGAATGACTGCACTGCCCCCAGCAACATGGTAATGAGGGTAGGTAGGCCGGGGCTACCAACGGGAGATGCAGTTTATTTACACCAGCAGCCATGGGGGCAGAGGGAATACACAGCGTTTACAAAGTTAGCTACCTGTACAGAATGGATTACATATGCAAAAATAAAAATCTCAAGACCACAGGACAGCGTGAGCCCCACCCCCCTCCCCCAATGACCCCAGCATGCGGTAATGCCAGGCGGGTGGCCCCTGGGCATGCGGGGGGGAGTGATGCATGGAAGGAAAAGCCACCGGCCATGGAAATTAGTACAGAACCCCCCCACACACACTCAGACACATGATAGGATACAGGGCGGACGACACCTAGCCGGGGTGGGAAGGATGGGAATTGAAACCCACACAGCCTGCTGTTAAAGGGAGGGGAGTGGGGAGCTCCTAGCCCCTGTTCAACTACATGGTAGGGGGGCACTCTCTCCCCAGAAGGAAAAGGGTTTGTTCCCTCAGGGTCCCTGCTGGACCAAGCCCATCTCTTACCCAGCCTGGGCAGGGGGCTCTGCCCTGAGGGCGGGCCAAGGAACAATGGGGAAGTTTATGTGGACAAACCAGTTCCCAAACTACTTCCCACTTCTCCCTCCTCCAACCAGAAGGGGGAAAAAGGGAGAAGCCACAGGGCAAAGAGTGTATTAGGGCCTGAGCTGCAGCTGCCTCTCAGAAGGGAGAGTGGCCCACAGCCTTCCTCCCTTCACCTTCAGCCCACTCCCCAGACTGCATCTGGAAGCGGCTGGAGGCCTGCTGAGATCCTCCTCTCCCTCCGGCCTCCCCTCGGAGGGAGAAGGCTACGGAGGGCCAAGAACGGAGGAGCCCAGGCCCCAGGATTTATTCTAACTCCTGCCAAAATGTTTGGCTTTTTAAAAAATAATCACAATTTGTGGGTTAAAAACCAATTTGCAACCAGGCATGAGCCACAATCAGAACCACCCCAGGGGGAGAGCGGAGTTCCAGACAGGGCACTGCAGCCCCATCTCTTGTTCCCTTAACCCTCTAGGGTCCCTAACCCGATCAGTCCAACCAGTCCTGGGTACTAGCTACCCAAATGTGGGATGGCTCCTCTTGGGAAGAGGGCAGGGGACATGTCCAGGAAGTGCCAGAGAACTTGGCTCAGGGTCACCTCCACCCGTGTCAGTCAGCTCTGCTCCCAGCCCAGGTCGCAGTCCTCCAGCTTGGCTCCTGGGAGTGGTGGTGCCCGCATGGAGGGGGGACAGTACATCTCTTCAGGATGTAGACCAGGCAGGTGGGCACACTGGCATGACAGTCCCAGAGAGGGGCAATGACACCCCTTCCCCTCCACTGACAACCCGGAGCACAGAGGCCACCCTCTCTTCCCACCCGACTCCTAGCAAAGGGGGAGAGGCACGAGATTAGGATTTTCCTCAGAGCCCCAAACCACAAGTACAGAATAAATAACTTAAAAGCGCTAAGGAAGGGAAACAGGGCAGGCTTTGGAGGCAGGAGCGCCGAGAAACTGAAGCCGGTCAAGGTGAAGGGGGTGGAAGCAGCAGTTGGGAACCTGGGCTGCCCCGGTAGGGCAGTGGGGCAGGATGGGCAGGAGGAACACGGGGCCACCCCAGGAGGGTGAGGCTGGGTCCCTTCCTGGGGCAGGGAATGAGGTAAGAAAACATTTCAAATAAAGCAGCACCGTTCCCTCTCACCTTGGGGCCCCACTCCTCACCAGCCCTGGGTCAGGGAGGAGAGACAGGGGGAGGAATTCTGACACTTCTCCCTCTTCCTACCCTCCCTTTCCCATTCCTTGAAGCTGTAGAGGCTGGAGGCCCTTTCCTGGCACCCAACAACAAAAGGACAGCTCCTGCTGCCAAGGAGGCCCATGGGGACTGAGGGGAAAGGGCTGCCCCTGTGAGGGGCAGGGAAGGTGGCGGCAGTTCTGGACGCCCACCTCAGCAGACAGCACTCTGTGCCTGCCTACCCCTGGGACTGGGGGCATTTGATAGGATTCTGCACACAGACAGGACATGCCCAGCCTTGCCCCTCAGCTCCAAGCACCGGACCCATTCACATTGCTGAGGGCGGCCAAGGCAGGCCCCCTCCAGGCTCAGCTTCCAACCCACAGCCTCCCGGGTCGCCACATTGCCCCTCAGCAGGGCTTAGTCCAGTTCCTGGGGTGGGGGGCAGGCAGTGCCCTGGCACAGTGCCCAGGTCAGGCCCCTGGCCTAGCTGGACATCCAGTAACTCACAGAATAAATAGGAAAACCGCCTCCCCACCAAACTTATGTCCAAGGCATAATATGTCCAGGTCTGAGTCCTGCACGCTGAGGAGTCGTGCTCCATTGCAGAGGACTTTGACACCCCCCAGGGGCGCATAATTGGATCCTCTGCCTGCCTGGCCCACCAAGCTTCCCAAGCCCCAACCCCCAGCAGCCGTCCATTTGCCAGGCTATGCCACCTGGGTGGGGGTCAGGAGAGAGGGCTCTGCTCAGCCAAAGGCTATCCCTTGCACCCAAGTCAGTTGATGTCATCATAGATGCTGGGCGTCGGGGGTGCCGGTGGCTTTGGCTTCTTCTTCTTGTTGGAACCTAGGCCGGAGGCAGTCCCTACCAGGCTCAGATGGGATTTCTTTTTCTTGGTTTTCCGTGACTCAGAGCTGTTGGTACCTGTAGAGAAAGAGACACAAAGGATGAGAGTAGGGTTGTGGCAGGAGAGGTGGCACTCCCACGGCTTCGGGCACAGCCCCTGGGGCCCAACTGTATCACATACCTAGACCCCATCCCTGATTTTCACTCGTCTTGGAGGAGCCTGAATCAGAGGGTGAGAGGTCAGAGGAGCCATCCCACTGAAGCCGGCTGATCAGGGCCTGGCTGTCAGTCATGTCAAAGCTGTCATTATCCAGGGAGCTCTCGACCTCTGGAAGGACGCTAGAAAGGGGATGAGCCAAAGAAGGGCTTTAGAGATAGCGATCATTGCCCTAACTGGTCATAACCCCCCACCCCTCCTGTAGGGCCACTTACGCCGAGGGCCCGAGGAAATAAATCCGCACGGTTCGCCTCTGCTCATCTGTGTGCTGTGGGCAGCGTAGGGACCTGGTGGTGAGGCAAGGCAAGGAGGGGTCTGAGGAACTCAGGTAAAGCCCCTCCCCTCGGCAAGGCAGGAGCCACAGGCACAGACAGGGAAGGGATGAGAGCAGATTCGTCCCCAGACTGTGGCCGTAGGCCTGATCATTAGAAGAGGGAAGGGGAAGGGCAGAAGCCCCATTGCTCAAGTCCGACCCATGCCCATGGTGAGTGTGCAGGAGGCCCCTGGCCCCCTTTCTAGGTTCTGTGCTCACCTTGTGCACATCTTCTTGGTGTGTTCAGAAATCACCCCACATTGCTGGAAGAGGAATATAAGCTGAAAGGAGGGATGGAGGGAACCTACTCTAGATGCTAGATGTTCCCTTCTGTATAAATGCTAGAAAGCACAAGCAGAGATGGCCCCAAGGTGTCCAGAGCAGACAGTCCCAGGACACTATGGGCCAGGAAACCTAATTCCAGAGAGAGAGAACAAATACGGCCCTGACTGCTATGTCACCAGCTTCCTCCCGGGCCTTGACCACTGCCTATGGCTCCAGCCCACTCCCAAGGGCCTTCTCCCTTGCCGGTCCCCCTCACCGTGGTTAGCAGGCTGCGAAGCTCCTCTGGCCCCAGGGTCTCATAGCTGATCCCAGTTGAATTGTTATACTGCAGGAGAACCAGAGGTACAGGTTAGAGATGGGGCAGAGAAGAGACAGGGGCCGGGGGGAAGAGAGAATCAGTCCCTCTGGTGCCTTTCTAAGTGAGAGGCTTTAGGACAACCCTGCCGTTTTCCAAGTGATTTCTCTCATCTCACCTGCCTATGGATAAGGGGTGGGACTCAGAAAGAACATAAATATATAAGATCCAAATAGCTCATCAGTGCCTCTGGCTGTCAGCATTCTGATCCCTACTTGTCCAAATCCCTACCACCTCACAACCAGGACGAGAGCAAGCGCGAGGGGCGGCCCATACTCACCTTAAAAGGATCCGAATTGCTAAGTTCCCCTGAAGAAGAAAAAAGAAGGGGAAGGGTGTTTGATGCAGAGGTACAGACAGAGAACCCTGAAAATAACCAGAGAGGAAGTGGGGGTGACAGAAGGATCACAGGCCCTCCCTCAATTCCCCTATCCCCGGGCCCCACCTCCACCCCCCGGCAATGAGTCCCAGAAGATGCAGCTAGAAGCGTTCCCATTGCTCCGGCCCCACTTACCATTTTTGTGTTTTAAAGACTTGGATCTTCGAGGGGAATTGGGGTTCTGGAATGGGAGATACCATAGCTTTGGGGAAAGGGTAACGATAAGGGGGAGCCGAGAACCCAGGGAAGGAAAAAAGATTTGACAAAGCAGCATCCTCAAATTCCTACTCTTCCTCCCCAGTAGGAGGCCTGTCTACCCATGTGCCCTCCCCCACCCTCCATTCCCACACCCCACCCGCCCACCACAGACACCCTCAAGCCCCCAATGACCTCAGCCTTGAGTCAAGACACTTGAGGACTCCCTGCCCAAAGGGGAGGGTATCTGTCCTTTGCCCATTAATTCCCCAATGCTTGCCCCGGCTCTCACCTTGTCTGATTTCCTCTTCTTGGCTGAGGGGGAACAAAAGCATAAAGAGCAGGGTTTCCGTTAGGTACTCAATCTAAAAGCATCTCAAGAAAACTGTACAATAGGCTGGGCGCGGTGGCTCACGCCTATAATCCCAGCACTTTGGGAGGCCCGGGCAGGCGGATCATGAGGTCAGGAGATTAAGACCATCCTGGCCAATATGGTGTAACCCCATCTCTACTAAAAACAAAAAAATTAGCTGGCCGTGGTAGCGCACACCTGTAATCCTGGCTACTCAGGAGGCTGAGACAGGAGAATCACTTGAACCCGGGAGACAGAGGTTGCAGTGAGCCAAGATTGCGCCACTGCACCCCATCCTGGGCAACAGAGCGAGATTCCGTCTCAAAAAAAAAAAAAGAAAAAGGGAAACCGCACAACTATACTCTCTCTTCATCATTCAAGACAACAACTTGTGACCACTTTATACCCAATTTCTGCTTCCCACCTCATCCCAATGCTCCCCAAGTTTCCCCAGATCCCCAAGCACCTTTCTTTTCCGAGCCATAAGACCAGTCGTTGTCATTGATGTCATCATTATCCTCTTGGTCACTCTCAGACTTATTCATGTTGTTGCTATTGGCAATCCTGCCAAAGGGAGGGAAGAGAAAGGGTCAAGGGGGTCACCCCGCTCTGCCCCCAACTTCAGAGACACGTGGGGTATCTGGGGCCAAGTAAAACCCACTCTCTGTACCCTCCTAATGCCCCCGGGGTACTACACCATGGCACAGGCTGCAGAGAATGGGCAGCTCTGGTTCTCTCACCGGCGGTTGGCGATTCGGCTGCTGTTCCGACCCATTCCCAGGCACTTCTCCAGATGGGGAGCAAAGCGGGAGGCGGCAATGCTGCGACTGCAATTGGGGCAAACACACTCCTTGCTCTTCCACTGGTTGAAAACCTGTCCAAAGATGTCCAACCCCGGCTGGTCCACGATCTCTGGGGACAGGAGAGGCTGGCGATCAGGGTGGGCAGGGGACCCTCTCCTCTTGTTCCCACCTGGGGTCCCATGGCCTCTTCAATCCCTCCCCCGGCTCACAGGAGCTCCAGATGCTACATCTAGCACAGTTTCCAGAGAAGGAAACTCCAAACGGTCCCAGGGAAGGGCTGGACTGCTGCTCCTTCACCCTGAAGCTCACCAAAATCCTTCATGCTATCAGGGTCCGTGTCGTCCAGGAAGAAGTAGCCACACTTGACAGCCCGGTGTACCTCAAAGCAGAATCCCAAACAAGAATCCTCGACCAGGTCCGCATATATCTCCTGAGCGATGGCCTGGGCCCCAGGGGAGAACATCTACGGTCACAAGAGTCACAGCCCCCTGGACTCTCACCAACCAAATCTGCTGCCAACTGGCCCCAGCCAAAAATCACGCTTTCTTTGCCATTTTCCCCATCTTGACTTCGTGTTCCTTCTTCTTCCTGGATCCTTGGCCTTTTCAGCTGGCTATTCCCTTTAAGGAACAAGGCTGACTACCCAAATTCCTCTTTGGTGTGGATGCCAGATATAGCGACGTAGAGACATCAAGAGAAAGAACTGGAGGCACACGTGGGGGAGCCCTCACCTCTAGTTTGCTGTTATCCAGGCCAGACAAAGACATTTCCTCCATTTTCATTTGTAAACTCTTGTGGAGACGGCGCTCTGACTGCTCATAGCACAGCGGGCGGCAACACGGCTGCACACACGGGGGTGGGGGTGTTGTTGTGAGTCCAAGGCACCTCTGAAGGCGGCCACCTTCCCTCCCACTTCGCTGCCCAGAGCTCAGTCCTGGCATCAGGGTCTCTCCCTCCCCAAGGCCCAGGCTCACTAAGTCTGGATGGTCCTTCAGGGCCTGAAACCTAAAGGGGGCCTAGTCTTTCCCAGGCCTGAGCTCAGGCCCTGGACTCCACTGCCAATCAGAGTCTGGGTCTATAGGAGGCAGCAGCTCACCCTAGGTCCCCAAAACTCAAACCCCTCTTTGATACCCATGGTGCAATGCAGCAGGGGGAGGAGAAGGAACTCCAAGGCCTCAAAGCAAACCCACAGGGTGTGGCAAAGAACTGCACAGACTCCTAAATACACCCCCCCGCCTTCCCTAAAGACTCTCCTCAGAGTCACCTCTGCTTTCAGCCAGGATGTCCACTTGGGGGGGTACTGCTACCAGAAGTAGAAATGGCCCTAGGACCCTACAACCTTCACCCCACTCTGCCTTCCCTTGAAATCAGCCTGCCACTCCACGAGGGAAGCAGAGCTCACAGGAGCCTAGAGCTAAGGGACATTTCTAGCCACCATGAGCAGGAGCGGCGGGGCGGGGGGGGGGGGGGGGGGGGGGGGTGCCCGGTGGGGTGGCACGCCAGGAACGGGCACTCCCCTTACCTGTTCTTCCTTTAAATAACCACCCGCCCTCCCTCAGGACCAGCCCGGAAGTCTCTCCAAGAGCCCCAAAGTCCAGGAACCCCCACCCAAGGATTGAGACACAGCACCCACAGCCCAGGGCCCCTCGGAACGGTGGGTACGAGTTTCAGGAGCCGCCGGCCTAGAGTGGGGTGGGGACTGACGAATGAGCCGGGGGCACTGGGAAGGGTAGGAGGCCGGGCCTCGGCTCTTCCCCCGTCCCTGCGGCACTGCTGCTGCATCATACCGACTGGGGGGAGGAGAGCCGAGCCGCCGGGGCCGGCACCGGGCCGGGACAGACCGACCCCCAGAGAGTGGACAGAGTGGGACGCGTCCCGGCCCCTCTCCTTCCCCGCCCGCCAGCAGCCCCGGCCGGCCGGGGAGAGGAGTCCAGGAGGGTGTCTCTATTGTCCCGGGGGCTGGGGCCTGGCTCCCTAACAAAGGCCCCGCGCCCCCTCCCCGGCCGGCCCTGCCCCGCCCAAGGGGGACCCAGACGGGGGAGAGCTGGGGGCCCCGGCCCGGCCGGGAAGCTGGGGGAAGCCGGGCGTTTCCGCGTCGGCCCGGGGGGAGGGGAAGGGGCGCTGACCCAGACCTGGGGGGAGGGGGCCCAAGCCCCGCCTCGGGCCCCGCCCCCCGCCCCCCGCAGGCCCCTCCCCCGTCCCCGTCTCCGTCCCGTACTCACCCCGCCCGGGGGGCCGCGCCGGGGCCCGGCGGCCTCTCAGGGCCGCGTCCTCCGGCGGCGGCGGCGGCGGCGGCTGCTCCGGAGCCCCATGTCCGTCGGTCCGTCCTCGCCTCTCCCCGGGGCCCAGGGCCCGGGGCCGGGGGGTCGGGCCGCCCCCCCGCCTCGCCGCCTCACCGGGCGGCCATGGCCCCTTCCCCTCCCTTCTTGTCCCGTCGCCGCCTCCTCCTCCTCACCTCACCCCGCCCGCGCGCAGTCCGCGCGCCGTCCGCGCGCCCCTCCCCCCGCCCCCCACTCCAGCCCGCCTCTCCCGGGCGGGGGGTGCGGCGCGAGCCCGGAGCGCGCGCGCGTGTGCCGCGACCGGAGGATGGATGGATGGAGCGAGCGAGAACGCGAGCGTGCGCGCGCGCGCCCCTCTCCCCCTCCCTCCGCGCGGGCGCGAGGCCAAGCGCGAGCGCGCTCCAACCTCCTCCTCTTCCTCCTCCCGCCCCTCCCCAACACCCCGCCCTCCCCCTCCCTTCCTCTTCCTTCTTTCGCTTTCGCGCGCCCAGCGACTGCTCGCGCCTGCTAGAAGGGCCCGAGCGCGTGCATCTGCCCCGCGGCCGCAGCTCGGCAGCATTTGCTCCAGGGGGCGGGGACCGGGAGGGGAGGAGGGGCGCCACGCCGCCGTCCAAAGTACCGGCGGACGGGGACGGGGGCGGGGAAATGGGCGGGGCCTTCGCGGATCTCCCCGACCAATCGCCGAGAGGCCTCGGCCCGGGAGGCCCAATAAGATGGGGGTGGGTGGGGCGGCGTTCAAGGTGAGGTGCGCGGTGCGCTGGGGGCGGAGACATTGTGCCGTCCCGGCCGGCTCGGGGGCGGGGGCAGCGGGTGGCGTCGAAAGAGAGCGCCGGCTCCCAGCCGATCCTGGGACGCCTTCCGGCCCAGGCTTCCCCGCCCTTCCCGCGGGGCTCCCCGCTCTGTCCCTCCCACCCTCCGCTCCCCCCTTTACCCCGAGCCGTGCAGCCACTTCTGTGAAGAGGCCAGACTTGAAGTGGGGCGCAGTTAGGACCTCGGGGCGGAAAGCCCGTAGAACCGAAGGGGCTCGCCCGCGCCTCAGTTCTCCTGGTTTCTGGGCGGGTCTCAGCCCACGCCAGGCCTGCGGACCAACAAGCGGCCGAGATGAGGGTCCGCTGCTGAGGTCGGAGGCCAAGCTGCGCCCTTCTGCGCGGAGCGCCCTCCCCGCCCCTCATCCTAATTTAGATCCCACACCTGCTCGCCTTTCCTGCTTCCGGAACCCACGCTGGACCCCCCACCCCTCAAGACAGCCTGCCTGGCACTGGCCAGATCCTTCCCCCGACCCAGTGCTTTTCTCCTGGGTGCAGAGTGTCCCTATGCTCACGCTCTCAGTCCCTCTTTAGGAAGGAGCGGGCCTTTTCCCAGCCGCGGTGGATGGCTGGATTGGCGCTTTGATCTCGGTTACTCTGTGTCTGCTGTCCTGGAACGGTTGTGTGACAGCCCTCTCCCCTCAAGAGATAAGATTAAAAAGGAGGATAGTCTGAAATCACATACTTGGAGCCATCTTTGGTTTTTAGTTTTCCGCAAATATTTATTTTATTCTCACCGATTTCTCCTGAGAAACAGCAAACATTTATTGAGGCGATATTCCAGAGTAGTTAAGATCAGGCGTCTGATTTGAATTTAAATCGTTGGACCTAGCAAATGAGTTTCCTCTGCCTCAGTTTCCTCTGTTGTCAGTGGGCATAATGATAGTCCTATCTCATTGCGTTGCTGTAGTGATTAACAAGTCAGTGCATGTGAAACTCTTAGCTCTGTGTAAGTGCTTGGTAAATCTTAGCTGTTATTCTTACGGTGCTCCAGGTGCTGGGCCAAAAGATGATATAAGACAGTTGTGCTTATTCAAGAAGTTCACTGTCTTGTGGGATAGAAAGGTAGGATAATAATTGCAAAAGAGTGTGACGAAAACAGCAGAGAGATAGAGAACAGAGGTAGCCAGAAGGAGACATCAAATAATATAAGAGAGTTGGTCAAGAAAATCTTGGGTCGGGCGGGGTGGCCCAGGCCTGTAATTCCAGCACTTTGGGAGGCCAGGAGCTTAAGACCAGCCTGCAAAAATGCAAAAATTAGCTGAGTGTGGTGGCGTGCTCCTGTAATCCCAGCTACTCAGGAGGCTGAGGCAGGAGAATTGCTTGAACCCGGGAGGCGGAGGTTGCAGTGAGCTGAGATTGCACCACTACACTCCAGCCTGGGTGACAGAGCGAGACGCTGTCTCAAAACAAAACAAAACAAAACAAAAAAAGAAGAAAAAGAAAAACTTCTTGTAGGGGGAGATGAACCAGGTGAAGGTAGGCTAAGAAAGCATTGGATATCCCCAACCGGAAGCTTCAGAAGCCTGGATCAAGTTGGAACAGAGGACTGGGTGGCAGAATAGCTGGAGGTGAGCAGGCTGGATCATACAGGACAAAGCAAGTAGGTGTTGAAAGTTTCACCTGTAAGCCACAAGGAATCCTCAAGGGGAATCATTCACCAGACTTATATATTTAGTAGATCATGCTGGAGTTTGGTCTGGAGAATAACTTAGAAGCAGTAGGTTTTTTTGTTTTGTTTTGTTTTGTTTTTTTAGCGTTTTGCTCTGTCACTCAGGCTGGAGTGCAGTGGTGTGATCTCAGCACACTGCAACTTCTGCCTCCCGGGTTCAAGTGATTCTCATGCCTCAGCCTCCCTAATAGCTGGGATTACGGGCACATGCCACCTTGCTCAGCTAATTTTTGTTTTATATTTTTAGTAGAGACAGGGTTTCACCATGTTGTCCAGGCTGGTCTCGAACTTCTGACCTTAGGAAATCCACCTGCCTCAGCCTCCCGAATGCTGGGATTACCGGCATGAGCCACTGGGCTTCGCCAAAAGCAGTAGGTTTTTGTTACTGATTGGGGTGTGTGGAGGAAAGGAGAGGGAGGTCTCAAAAACACCTTTAACTAGGATGGGGAACTCAGGGGAGGACATGGGAGGATACAGGATGACTTCACTCTGGGATATATTGAGGTTTCTGTGGGATCAGCTGATGGAGACCCGAAAGGTGATTGAACTTAGATCTGGCACAGAGAAGTAAGCTAGGTTTTCAGGAACTTCAGCAACATAGCCTCAGCCTTCTTTTTCTCTTATCTCCCACCTCCTTTTCAGGAATTCTTCCCGCCAGTGGTGCTGATCTGTTTCTTACCTAAATATGCCCAGTACATTCTGCCCTAAGGAATTTGCGCCATGGCCAGAAAATCCTCCTGGCTTCTCCCTGTTGACCTAAATCTTTCCTCATATCCGCACCCGTGGCCATCCTCATACCAAACTTCTGTACAACTAGACTGTACTGTTCATTCTGTGCTTCGCCTGGGCTGCTCTGTGGTGGAGACCTCTTTGGGCACGTACCAGTCTTCACTGTTAGCACCAGTTCATAAACACTAAGGCCTGAGCTGGTCCTGACTCTGGGTGAGACCCTGGGGTTATAGCAGCAAGCAAGAGAGACACACAAACCTTGTCCTAGCGTGGCTTACAGCCTAGCAAGGCCTGATGGGAAGGAAATAAGGCCTGAGTGTGAAGGCATTCAGGCTGCTGAAGAAACATATAGTGTGGAGACCCTTTTTCTCAGGAGCTCAGGGAAGGAAGTGGTCTTTTAAGTGGAGCCCTGAATTAACTAGGCAGAGAGAACACATAGACCCTGGGACAGAGCATGTTATGTTCGAGACATGAATGGCCAGTGTGGCTAGAGCCAGGGCAGGACTAACAGGGGCAGCAGATCCCCTAGGGCCTTGTGGGCCAGACTTATTCACCCACTCAACAAATCTTTCGGTCAGGCGCAGTGGCTCAAGCCTGTAATCCCAGCACTTTGGGAGGCCGAGACGGGTGGATCGTGAGGTCAGGAGATCGAGACCATCCTGGCTGACACGGTGAAACCCCATCTCTACTAAAAAATACGAAAAACTAGCCAGGCGAGGTGGCGGGCTCCTGTAGTCCCAGCTACTCGGGAGGCTGAGGCAGGAGAATGGCGTGAACCTGGGAGACGGAGCTTGCAGTGAGCTGAGATCCGGCCACTGCACTCCAGCCTGGGCAACAGAGCGAGACTCTGTCTCAAAACAAAACAAAACAAAAAACAAATCTTTCTTGGGTGTCGAATGTATATCAGGCAGTTTCAGGTGCTGAGATTAATGAACAAGCAGATAAGGTGTCTTCTACTTGGTGAGATAGATAATACATAAACAAGAAGATGGAGGATGCCTCTCTAGAGCAGGTGGTTGGGAAAGGCTTCGCTGAGAGAGGACATGTGAGTTGAGGCCTAAAGGATGAAAAAAACATCAGGTATGTGTAGAGTTGGAGGAATAGCCATTCTGGGCAGAGAGAACAGGTGCCAAGATCCCACGGGTAGGCGTGTTTGAGGAACAAAAGAGATCACTTGGCTGGATCACTGTGAGTGGTTAGGAAGAGCAGGGTGAGCGAAGATAAGAGAAGGAATGCAGGGGCCAAACCTTGTAAGGCCATGGTAAGACATGGTAAATTTTCAGTACAGAAATAATCAGATTTATTTCTGAGATAACTTTGGCTGCCATGTGAAGAGTGGGCTGTAGGGGGCGAGAGTGCAAGCAGGAAGATCAGCTTTAGGAGGTCTTTGCAGAAGTTGAACAATAATGGTGGCCTTAAATAGGATGGGCGTGGCAGCTGTGGGAGTCACCCTGTGGGAGGGGTGGACAGATTTGAGACAGCTTTAGGAAGTGGAATGGAGAGGTCTAGGTGATTGAACCTGGAGGTGAAAGGGAGAGAGAAGTCAAGGCCAATATTCTGCTTTCTAGGTTGAACGACTAAGCGTTTGGTAATCATTTCGGGTCTTGAGGTATGAGATGCCTGCA